TCCGTACTCCGTAAAGCAGGGACGACAAGGAAGTTTGTTAGAAAATATTTTTATTCATATACAATATTTGTATGTGTATGTATGTTAATGCTTAATGAGGGTCCATCCGCCCTTCCGGGCACAAAAAGCAGCTTTCGCTGTCGAGTACGGAACCCCGGACATGGGTCACCAGTCATGCCCTTAAAGTAAATTATAATTCTAAATTGGTGACTTGTTCTTTGATTTTTGGAATTCAGTAATTCACTGAATGAGCCCAAAGAAAGATGCTATTGTTTTTAGATTTATTAATGAAATAATAACACGGGAGGCCAATGAGACCATTTGTGTGTATTAGTGGTTGTTAAGTGGAAGAATGTGTTGCTTGCCTAAAATAAAAGGATCAAGAAGCGGACGGGTAAGGTTTTCCTGACATATAGACGCACGGACAAGCAATGGTGCTTCGGACTGGTGTTTTTTGGTTCGGTGCCACAGACATGCAAAACGGACAGACAAGTTCACTCTTTCCAGTTTTCCAGCTCGGCCATGGACCATGGACAGCTTCCTCTTCTGGTGGGTCTAGAAGAACTCTTCACGTCATCGGTCTTCGAAGATGTCTTCTTTGACCTCCCCCTTAATGCCTACTTTGAGAGTGCGACATTTTCGGGCTTGGTCATGGACTTCTCATCCCCTCAGAGTGGTCTTCTTCATCCCGTCATGTAGTTCTTCCAGATGTCTCAGATATATCGAGATAAGCGCCCCATATGTTACCATCACTTGCATATCGATCCGACTGCCGGTTAGCCACAGACAATTTAGTAAATTTATAAAATATATAGCCACAGACAATTTAGTAATTTATAAAATATAAAATGATTTTCGAAATATTGCCTATATCGGTCCAATTTTGAATTTTGTTTATTGAAGTATGGAAAGCCACAGACGCATTTTATTGTTTTAATTAAATTTATTAATAAATATATTTTCAGTCAGTGAAGTGTTGTTGCTAAGGCCGTCACAAAGCACTAGCAGTTTAATGGTGCCACAGACATTGATTTGCCACGGTCAATTTGGAATTTTGATAAAATGCCTAAAAAGATAAGGTAGCCTTCATTCGGTCCAATTTTGATATTTAATAAATGTTGTATAAAATTTGTGTACTCGGTCTTTTATTCATCAACGGCCCACTCTTAGCGCAAATTTTTATTGGCGATTTGCCTTTATTTCCAAAATAAAAATATATAAAAGTTTACAAAAAATACATTTAAACAAAGAAGGTGAGATTCAGCAAATGATATAGAACAGAACAACCTAAAATGTGTGCCTTTAAATTGATGGGCTGCTTTATTTTTGTTTTTGGACCTGTTCCCTTCTATATCGTTCTTCACGTATAACCTGAGATTAGCTCATATAACTGTATGTTTTGTAACGGGGTCTGATTGTGTCCATATTGTATGGCTCATATGGGGTTGAATTGCGGGAACTATTATTTTATCCTTATTGGCCCTTAATTTGTCCAACATTGTGTTGGCTCATATGGGACAGGTATTTATTAAACAAGGCACATGTAATTGGGCTTCATAATGTCCAATCTCAGGTTATTTGCTAGCCTCATCTCACAAAAATTAATATATGTACAAAAAGATAAAACATTACAAATGACGATTAAAGTGATTGATTTGTTTTTATCTAAATATAGTCTTATTACTTTGTTTTTAGAAAAATAGTACCTACATGGTTTGACTCCTATTCAAGTTATATAAGTTAAATTAAATTAAAGTTGATTAACAAAAGTCCCAAATCGGAGTCAAACCCTACTTCAGCATAACTGTCAGCTCATAATCAGGGCATAGACTGCTATTGTTGTTTTGTGGCCTGGACGTGTTGAGGACCTTTATTTTATTTCAAGACCTGTCTGACAGCCATTCTGATGTAGTGTAGCTACTAGTGTTATTTAATAAATATATACTTTTTCAAAATAATGCCATATTGAATAAATAATCCCTTTATTTCTATTTAATGAGAAATTAACATGTTCATAAGCATTTACTATATTAAGCTTAAATTCAAAATCGGATAGTAAATGTACCAATAACGACATGGAAGACAAGTGCTCTCGACCAATCAGAGAGCCGCTTATATATCCTATGTTCGGCATAGTAAACAGTTAATTTATAGTTGAATCTCCTTCACGAAAACCGGACTGAAATTCAGTTTGAATATTGTTGTTCATATCAAGATGATTATATGCGTGTTTGTATACAGCTGTTTCAAGTATTTACATATAAAACAGTGGTTTTATATTATAAATAATTATGCTCAAATTAAGATTTATCAATGTTGTAAGTTCCATTATTTATAAAGATATTACCGAATTTAACATTTCATGTAAATAAAGGGAGTTAATTACAAATTCATTTTCTATAAAGTCTAAGTAAGAAATGAGTGCATATATTTCAATGATTACATATAATATGTACACATATTTTACATATTCTTCGATGTACGAAAATTGTTTTATAAGTCCCATTAGGTCGGATGGTAATACATTTATTTGGGATATATCGGTTACAGAATTCCTGGACGCATCTACATCATGTGATGAATGGATGCACTGCTAGTCAAATTGTGCTAGAGAGTATCTCAAATCATAAAGTCTTTGCGAATGTACAATAATATATGACAGCAATGTGTCCGACTTTTTGGTTTAATAAATTTAAAAAGAATTAACCAAATGAAATAAAATGAAATATATGAAGCAATATTGCAAAACAAAAACAGAAAATGATAATATAAAACAACCTACTGTTTATTTGTGTAATGATGAGTATAATGTCTGCACATATCTGGCTAGTATATCAATTATATACAAGTACATACCGTTAATTATACTGATAACTGTTACAAATTAATCTAATCCAGTTAATGCACATGTAGGTAACTTCAAGTATAGCATGGTGTTCGGTAATCAGGTAAGCAAAATCGAAATGTGGGTAACTTAAATACATCAGCACATATATGTTTAAAGAGATGGACACAATAAAATAGCAAATAATGGTAAATGAAGAAAAACAGCCGATAAGACCTGTCACCCAAGCAATGATCTGGGAAATTGTTAAATATTTATAATTAAACATCGTTATTACGAGTTTATAACTTCAAAAATTTAAATATCTCTGATTAAAATTAAATGTTGCTAATGTCAAATGTAACATACTGGACAAAGAAAGAAAGAAGACAGAAAGAAGACAGATTTAAACTACTTCAATCACACGTCAATAACATTATGACATTCATCCGCTCATGCACAAAAACAATTTTATGCAGTACAGTTCCATTTCATGTGTGTGTTTTTATCTTAGTCACGTTTTTTCCAATGGGATTCTGACTATTTGTCAGTAGGCACTTGGAACTAAGCGTTGCCAGAATTCTGAAAGGTTATTAGTCTATGTTTTGATTTTCGTAAAAATCATGATAATAAAAATAATAATACGATACCCCTGTGACATTTAATACAGCAATTTTTATCTTTTTACACCGACTCCCTGCCTTCATCAACCATTTTATTTGCCTTGCTGGATGACTTTCACTCTTTATGTAATGCAGCATCAATATAAAATGATAAATCGTATCTCAGTTTTAGCCTGGAAAATACTTGGATATACAGTGTATCTGTAAACTGATAGGCGCACTTTAGTTAATGTTAAATTGACGTAGAAAAGTTCGAATTCATTATATCAATAGCAGCTTAGTTATATTTTAATTATATGAAGCGTATCATGTTGCTTAGTTTACTGAATATCTCTCCGTACACAATGTTCAAACCCATTTTCATTTCATTTATTGAGCTATACCAAAATTATTTACCATCTCTATATTAGCTTGAAGAAATGCCCGTTTATATCAGAGTGCATATCAAACTATTTCTCACTGAAATACATGTCACATTAATCGCCGAGTGGTCATTGTCACTGACTTCAGATCACTTGCTCATCCATGTCCCCGCTGTAGGTTCGAATCATTACCACAAGGGATTCCAGATAATACAATATTAATCTGTGCCAAAATACACCATTTATTTAATTTAATACGCTACTGTCTCTTTTATCAATATTTCAACTAGTTTATGTAAAATAGTTTAAATACGTGAAATAGAATGTGAATTAACGTAAAAATCCATAAATGTATGTATATATAAAGTAAGGTGGCTGATTTTGAAAACTTTCGGCGTCATGTTGTTTGCTAGCGACAGCACGACAAAACGCCAACGGCGCGTTTGACGATTTTTGTCTTGGCGTCCTGTCGCTGACGGTGCACATCAAATGGTGCGTTGTCGTGCGGTATGTTTGTCCCGATGTCACATTTCGACCGGCTCAAACGAATAATTGGCTTTATAACCCTGGTTACAGCGACATTGCCCGCATGACAAATGTGCCGTTTTGCGTGCTTCGCTAGAGACAGGTCGACGAGACGACCGTGCGACAACGCGAGCGTTTCGCTAGTGTCATGACGACAAGACGAAAAGGCGATAATGATATAGGTTGTGTTGTCGCTATCGACAACGCAACGCTCGAAGTGTACGAAATCAGCCACCTTTTTAAAGTGCATATGGAATGTTTTACATACATGTACAACACTAGATATCTTACCTATATAGTTACCACCTGGCAAACTAAATATTTGTTTGGTTATTATCTGGAGATCAACTTAAAGTGTATGAAATCATTCAAGTTATTATTTACAAGTTATAAACAGTACACATTCTTATTGGTACATTTTGTCTTACGAGGCATTTCTGTACAGAGATCAAAAGAAAGCCGTTTTATTCATTGTCCCCTTTTCTGGGTACTATCGCATGAACCACAAGAGTTTTAAAATTTCATAATTCAATAGTTATTTATACAACTTCTTATTTCAATGTCTCACATATCATGCTGTAGACATGTATAGTATATGATCATTGTGTACATATATAACAAAATAATATACATATACCAGGTTCGTGAATAATTATCATTCAGATACAGCGTGATAAACTTTTATTTTATTAAAATGTGCTTAGTCATGCAGACATTGATCAATACGCATGATAACATGTGAGTAGTATTTCTAAACATAATAACATGCTTCTTGAAATAACATGTTAACGAGGCAAAATCAAACACCATAAACATACAGAATACTGATTATATTCAATTTTGAACGTTTGAAACAAAAGTTCTGATAGCGTAAAGTAAATTAGATCTATATGTCTTTTTCGTAGTCTGTGTGCACTTCATAGTAGAAATTAGGGGCATGTACATCTCTAGAGCTGTGTTTAACATATACCTTCCCGTCAATCATGTCCTTATAACTGTCCAGCATTGGTAAATCTAATAAAGAAGGTCTATAATTAACTAAAAAATAAGCTTGAGCATGGATATCTTCCTCTGAATTTGAATCGTCATTTCCCTTTGTCAAGATCACATCTTTACGGACATACAAATTCGGATGATTTTCAAGTTTATCAAGTCGTTTTAACTGGGCATCATCTACTTCATACAGTTCTCCTTGAACATTCTGAAAGATAGATAAAATAAAACACATGAAAACGTTTACATTTACCGTACATATAATATTTTTGTTTACATTAGGTGTACATTTATATTTTGTTTACATTAAGTGTAGATCTACATACTTATTTTTTATTATATTTTTGTTTACATTAGGTGTACATATTATATTTTTGTTTACATTAGGTGAACATATTATATTTTTGTTTACAATAGGTGAACATATTATATTTTTGTTTACAGTAGGTGTACATATATATTTTTTTACATTAGGTGAACATATATTTATATTGTTCACAATAGGTGTACATATTATTTATTTTTACATTAGGTGAACATTAGTCGAAATATCAACGCGATCAGGATTTTGACCATGTCAAAAATTATCTAAAAATCCCGTAGGTTAAAATTTTTTGACTAGGTGAACACATAATATTTTTGTTTACAATAGGTGTACATAACATCCCTGAAATCTGGGACTGTATATCACTAGATGTTTTAAAAGCTGCACACTAATCCAGTAATAAATACTTTAAAGTAATAAATACCTTAAAGATACGCCCCAGATCTAGATGAACGCTTAAATATGGATTGAATTAAGATTTAAATTGTACAATGTAGATCAATACAAATATTGAAAGGAAACTATCATCTAGAATCTGCTTACAATATTGATTATAAAAAGAAAAAAAAAACGTCAGCTTATCCTTTCCAACAAATATACCCTGATCAAAATATTGTAAAAGCAACGACTTTTACAAAACACAATTTAATATATACATGTATGTACTTACATGCCCTGTTCCTGGTGTGTACAGCAAAAATGGAACATTATATCTCGACGCTACAACCAGCGGGTATTTTTCTTTGGTGTAAACGGTACCTAGTCGTCTGCACACACCGGATGTTTCATCTTTCATCAGATTATAGTTTGGTTCACCGGTTTTTAATGTTCCATACACAAATATCAAAAACATGTTGAACTGTAAAGTGTTTCACGGGTTAAAGGTTGAATCCATTCATATACAAATATAAAATCGGTGTACACACATAAATCACCTCGTTCCGTTTGACTATGTAAACAAACCCAGTCACTTGCACCGGATTTGCCCCTGCCGACAAGATAATTTTGCTTTAAACAAATGCACAACATTCTATGATTTCTGAACATAAAATATATCTTATAAAGAGGAAAACTAGCTGTTTGGAAGTTTTAACACTTGAAAAAGAATGACAATTATGTGTGACGATGTACATAATAACCGCAAGGTTTCTTTCCCTTTTATACATGTAGACCATTGGGCGATATAATATGTATTGATTGCTTTTGTTTATGTTTTCTAAATTTAAACCTTAAAACACTATCCTTAGACTAGTATGAAATAAATTCACCATATCTTTATCCTTAATCCATATTTATATACAAAATAATCAACTTTTTAATAATAAGTGAACACAAATTTAAGTCAAACATAAATTTATCGATCATTTTATTAACAGACAAGTCACACAAACACGAACATTTAGTAATTATTTATAGCATACGTTTCGGCTATGCCTTCATCAGTGCAAAACATAATATTTTTATTATTTTTTATTTTTTTTTTATCATTTTATGAAAGTAAACTTTAACCATACACCTTTTGAGTAAGTTAAGTAAGTATGTTATAGATATAAAATGTTAAGTTAAATGTTTTGCTGATTAAATTGTTCGTGTCAGACATTTCTAACAATTTATATTATGTATAGAGATACATTACATTCACTTTCCGATTACAATTTTTCAAATTTGTCATGTGTACATGACTGTAATTTAATGAAAACTTTATTTTAAAATTTTATTTATTACATTCAATATTTAGAAAATCTTCGGTCATTTGTATCCCCTCAAGAAAGTCAGTATTTTATATCATTTTTTCCTTTACCGAACTGAAATGAAATGCCTTCCACCAGACACGCATTGTGGGTTGGGTAATCCACCTTTAAACTCAATTATTAACACAGACTTGCGATATAAATTAAACCTAGTTCCCGGTATGGTATAAAGAAGGAAAACAAACAATGAATTTAGCCTACTGTGAAAAAATGTCATCAGCTGTAACATTTAGGTATTTTCTGTTGTATGACAAAAGGAAACAACAACCCATTTAATCAAAACCAGATTAAATAGATCATAGGTCGGCCGTGTTGAAAACAGAATGTCATCATTTAAATCGTGGTGAATGGTGATACACTAGTTGTATCATGTTTCTACGAAAGACCGGTAGTGCCATTTCAACTTCATGATTTCCTGACTTCATCTTCAAGAATTCACATTTTTAACTTCGTGAATTCACGTTTTCAACATACGGAATTCACGAATTCACGATTTCAGCTTCATGAATTCGCGATTTCAACTTCACGAATTCACGATTTCAACTTCATGAATTCACGATTTCAACTTCATGAATTCACGATTTCAACTTCACGAATTCAACTTCGTGAATTCACGATTTCAACTTCACGAATTCACGATTTCAACTTCACGAATTCACGATTTCAACTTCATGAATTCACGATTTCAACTTCACGAATTCACGATTTCAACTTCACGAATTCACGATTTCAACTTCATGAATTCAATTTTGTGAATTTACGATTTCAACTTCACGAATTCATGATTTCATCTTCAATAATTCACCATTTCAACTTCACGAATTCACGATTTTAACCTCACGAATTCACGATATCAACTTCACGAATTCACGATTTCAACTTGACGAATTAACGATTTCAACTTCAATGTATATGCCACGAGGCAGTGACGTCATTCGCCGCCATATTGAATGGGTAATGAAATTGCGTGAAAAAACGGTTAGTGTTCTTTTACTAATATAAGTTTTAAATATATCATTATTTTCATTTTAAATCCTTTAAAGTATTTGTAGGAAAATAAATCATATAAGTTTGTTTAAAAAGAACATATATGGTGATCTAGAACACATGAATTCGGCTATATCCTGAATTAGACCCCGGGTCTAAACCAAAGCTTTATATTTTAAAATACTGTATAAAATATATATCAGGGTTCAATCTATGTGCATCTGTTTGTCAGAATTGGATTTTTCGTGTTCAAGATATAATATTTTAAATAATTGTATTTTTTTTTATCTAATTGCAGATTCTGGTGTTATCTTTCATCATTATTTCTATGGCCTTTTCTTGCATTGGCAACAGGAGAACGTATTGTGAATAAAAAGGCGATGATGGATTTGATAGTTCAGTATTTCTCGGTTGGATACAAATACTAAATACAAAGAGATATTAGCTAGTCTTCTGTTGATTCATGGAATGAAAGTTAGTTATCGTCACATAAAAATCATGAAGAGAATAAATTCATATAGGCGAACAGTAAGATCGAATAATGAAGATATATTTCCTGCAATTCTTAGAGAACTGTACTGTATTGAAAACTCAATATAAACATTATATTCTAAGATTTATTTACAAGAGTATTCACAGAGATGTTGCTACATTGCATGTGTAATCTAAACTGTCTATCAAAGAGGGCTCAGAGAGAGAGTTCTCAGAGTGTGCATATTTAATCAAGTAGGCGGAGCTAATCTCTAAATACTAACAACACTACATCTCCGCCTTGCTTAGGTTTAAAGTTCACTGGTCAGTCCTAATGAAGGACATTAATTATTTGTCTGACAGTAATGTTATTGTCTCAGATATCCATTGATTCACAGGTGTTTATTTCACGCTGGCGCTGCCACTACAAGTTAATGATTATTTTATATCCAGTAAATATAGTCTCTTGATTGCTATCACATTTAATCTCAGTTTATGTTCTAGAGGCAATTAGTGTAGAAAGTTACTGACTGTCTGTAGTCCAATAAATTAACTTAAGTCTAAACTGTGTTGAGTAAATTTTCAATGTTTACAGAATACAAACAGGTTTTATCAGCATGAAATAAAACAAATTAGAATAAAGATTGAAGATAGAATCTAAATGATACACAAATAGTTTAAGTATCAAAATGCTAATTGAATGTTTCATTTATACTTGTATTCCATTTTCCTCTGGAGATTTAAGCACATAGTAAAGAATTGTATGATTATCAGCAGTTATATTAAATCCCTGTTTTGAATGTTTGTGCACACCGACAGTTAAAATAATCGAACTCGTTTGTTTGAATGAATGTTCCTTTTAAGTTGAAGCTAACTTTTAGTGGATTATTATGCCACTGTTTAACACTGTTTATACATTTATTCTTCTAAATAGTCATATATATCATATATATACAGGTGGTTTTCACTCATTTAGCTAACTTTTAGTGGATTATTATGCCACTATTTAACACTATTTACACATATAATCCTTTAAATAGTCAGGTGGTTTTCTGTGCCTTTCAGATCTTCGCAAAGAAGTATACTCATTTGATGTAGGTAAGGTTTCAAACATTGTGCTTTCATCGGATTGTGATTCTATGCTCGTTTCGTTGTAAATTGGTTCTGTATTGCTGTGTTCACCCTCGACATTTAAAGGAGAATTTCCATTTAAACTTTGGGTCTGAGAGTTGCCGACACGTTTAAAATGTGATGAATTTCTAGCGATGTGTTTGTCTTCTCGCTCTGCCGTTATCATTGATCCTTTTTTCTTGGTTACTTCATACGGTTTAGGGTCGTATGGAGTTGTGCGTTTGTTTTGTTTGGTTTGCTTTACTAACACACTGTCGCCTATTTTAACTTCAGTTTTCCAAGCGTTTCTTCGTTTATCAGTGTATTCTTTCATTTTTTGTTTTGATTTTCTGTCATTTTCTCTGGCCTTTATGTCATTTTTAGATTTCTTTTGTTTTTGAACCATGGGAATTTTGATGTTAATTGGCCTCCCGTAGAACAATTGTGCAGGAGTTTCGGCCGTTGTCCCATGTGGTGTAGATCTATAATTCCTTAAAAATGCATACATGTCTTGTTTCCAGTTTGTATGGTGCACATGAGAAGCTCGTATTGACTTGCCTATGGTTTTCATGAATCGCTCACATTCAGCATTTGCTTGTGGCCATAATGGGGTTATTTTCCTATGTTTGAAGCCCATGTGTTTTGCAAAATTTTTAAATAGGTAAGAGTTCATAGGACTGCCGTTGTCTGACTTGAGAATTTCAGGAATTCCGGTTTCTGAGAATATTTTGTCCAGCACAGGGATCACTGTATTTCCTGTTATGGAATTTAAGACTTCTACGAAAGGAAAACGTGAATATTCGTCAATTAGTACAAGCAGATATTTTCCATCTGGAAATGGGCCACAAAAATCCAAACTAATCATTTGAAATGGGTATTTTGGCATATCACTCATGTTTAAAGGTTCATGCTGTTTTGAATTTGTTGCTGCTAAGCACGGAATGCAGCTTTTGCACATATTTTCAACTTGTTGATCCATGCCTGGGAAGTACACTTTCTCTCTTAACAGTTGTTTGGTTTTAACAATTCCCTGATGACCTTCATGAGCTAATGATATCGCTTTATCTTGCAACTGCCTAGGAATAACAATTCTTGATCCATGCAGTAAGATTTCACCTCCCTGGAGATTTACTACCGATAATTCATTCTTACAGCGAGAGAACGTATCAAATACTTTATTTTTATTGGTGTTGCTCCCAACAACCCGTCTTTATGGATTTAATGGCCATTTGGAGGTCATTGTCCGTAGAAGTTGCCTGAATAATTTCATTCATGTTCATTGCAACAGGTACATCATGATATGCAAGAAAACTTAACATATTCTTCAGCTATGCTTGATTTGCTGCCTTGTTCCTGTGTCTGGATGTCTGCTCAGATAATCTGACATGTTTGACTCTCCAGGTTTGTGCAAGATCCTGAAGTCATATGATAACAGACGCATTCTCCAACGTTCCAGTCTTGCAGATCCAAGTTTTGATTTAGGATTATTGTAGATATTCTCAAGAAATTTTGCATCAGTTATGACTGTGAATTTATGTCCAAATAAGTATATGTGCCAATGTTCTAATGACCAAACTAATGCTAAGTTTTCTTTTCTCTTGTTGACTGTAAGAGCTTCGTTCAACATCTGTCAGTGATCTGCTT